GCTACAGTAATCAAGACAGTATGGTACTGGCACAAAAACAGAAATATAGATCAATGGAACAGGATAGAAAGCCCAGAGATAAGCCCAGAGATTAGGTGACTTATGGTCACCTTATCTATGACAAAGGAGGCCACAATATACAATGGAGCAATGGCAGCCTCTTTAATAATTGGTGCTGGGAAAACTGGACAGCTACATGTAAAAAAATGAAATTAGAACACTCCCTAAACCAAACACAAAAATAAGCTCAAAATGGATTAAACACCTAAATGTAAGCCCAGACAGTATAAAACTCTTAGAGAAAAACATAGGCAGAACACTCTTTGACATAAATCGCAGCAAGATCTTTTTTGACCCACCTCTTAGAGTAATGAGAATAAAAACAAAAATAAAAATATGGGACCTAATTAAACTTAAAAGATTTTGCACAGCAAAGGAAACCATAAACAATACAAAAAGACAGCCCTCAGAGTGAGAGAAAATATTTGCAAATGAAGCAGCTGACAAAGGATTAACCTCCAAAATATACAAACAACACATGCAGTTCAATATCAAAAAATGAACAACCCAATCAAAAAATGGGTGGAAGACATAAATAGACATTTCTCCAAAGGAGATAAACAGCTGGCTGACAAACACATGAAAAATGCTCAACATTACTAATCATTAAAGAATGCAAATCAAAACTACAATGAGACCTCACTTCACACTGGTCAGAATGGCCATCATCACAAAATCTACAAACAATAAATGCTGGAGAGTGTGTGTAGAAAAGGGAACCCTCTTGCACTGTTGGTGGGAATGTAAATTGATACAGATTTGACATTCTGTTTAAAAAAAAGAAATGTAGTTTAATAAGCATATAAAAAGGGAAAGATTCAAAAATGAGATGAGAAAGAGGTTAATATCAATATTTATATGCTGGTAGTAGTGACATAGTATGGATGAAGGAATTTATGTTGCAGAAAATAATGTCAGGATGAATGTCCTTTAATGATAGGTGATAAAGGACAGAAGTAATTTACTGGTGGAAGGGATAACCACAGACAGGAACAGGGAAACCAGAGAAAAGCACAGTGTATGACTGCAGATCTCTGCAGGATGCTAGTTGTTAGTGGGAAGAGAAAGAAGTTCTCTTCTGATCACTTTTACTTTCTCAGGAATATGAGAGACAAAGATTTAAACTGAAATTTAAATAGAGGGAAGATTGATGGGAATTTAAAAAGAAAAGAGAGAGCCAGAAATAATAAGCTAGGATGCTGGGAAACTGGATTGATTAGTGAGAAGCAGCATCTGTCAGAGGCACCAACGGCTTCCTTGAGGTCTGTGGTCAGGAAGTCAAAGTAAGGACAACCAATGTAGAGTGTGAGAGTCTGTGTGTGTGTGTGTGTGTGTACCCATACTTGTATTTTTTCCTCCTGTTCTATGCCACCCATGTGAATGAAAAATATATGGGAGGTTGGGATTAACTTCAGGATAGAGGTGTTCTGATATGAGTGTTATGGAAGGAGACAGAGGCAGGATAATGCAAGTAAGGCAGTGGTTATAACTGTGAGCCATGGAATTAGGTTGGGAAAAAGGAGATAAGGATCTGGTAGGAGGACGAGGCAAAAATGAGGTTTGAATGTGGCGTCAGTGAACAAGAATTCTTGAGAGAGCTTTGAGTTTCCTGCTCAACTCTTCAGCCAATGCCATGCTGTGCTGCTGCCACTGGCTGTAGCACATCTCTTAATGGTTCGATTATGTATAAAACATAAATATCTATTATTAGGGAAATATTCTCACCTTTATAGTTTATTAAGTACAATTTTGATATCTCTTAATCTATTTATCTATACACATATATATGTATCTACCAATATATAAATGGCATTTCAATCTTAATCCAAACCAGTTTTTTTCAAGGCCTTTTCCGATTGCTTTCTTTAAATTCACCTCCCCAACTCCTAACCTTATCCCAGCCCTTTATAATCTCTTTTCTACATAATTTTTCCCTATGGCAATTAATATATCTGCTCTATACCATGTTAAGTTATGATCTCTCTCAAATATATGTATATTAAGGAGAGAGTAAATATGAATGAACTACTTTGTATGATCATAGCTTTCTAGAAGAAGTATGAGGATTGAATCCTCCAACCCTTCCAGGAAACAGTTTAGCAGCTGCCAGTCTCTGATACACCTGGCCTGAAATGAAGGCTAAATCAACTCAGAATTGACTACATCTACAGAGACACTTTGGTTACATCAGTTACTGCATAGTGATTTCAACTGAGGGGTCATAGCAGACCACCAAACCAGGTGTGAGACCCCCTTCACAATGGCCTGTGAGTTGGGTATTTGTAAACTTCCAACAAATCTTTCTGAAATTAAGAAGAAAACTAATTTATTCCAATATGAGAAGCCTACAATACAGTTAATGAAAAAGCAAGCATAATTTTCTGAGTTCAAAATTCAAATTTTCCTTGGAAAACAGGCCACACAAAATCCAATTTAGAGCTTGAAAGGAAGTCCATGGAATCATTATTCCTTAAGTGGCCTTCCCAAGAATCAGTTATACATATGTGCTATATGAATATGGGTTTATGTGAGCATCATCCCAAAAAAGCTTGAGACCCCAAAATAACTGAAAATACAGTGTTTCAGAATCCAATGAATCAATGAGAGGAAGTTGAAGATTTTTCATTAAAAATAAAAAGGGACATAATTTGACTCATCAATGATTTATAAAATGATATTTAGTTCAGTGATACACTTTACTATTTATATTTTATTAACTGTTCATCATTCATGAATATTTATGGAGCACATACGAGGTGAGGGCATTTCTCACCACCTCTGCTGGGCAGTGCTAATCTAACTCACTATAATCTGTCACCTGGACCATTTCCAAAGCTTTCTGATAGGCCTCTCTGCTTCTATTACTGAAACTCTCTACTTCATTCTCCACACAGGAGTCAGCATCATTTAATGAGCATGTAAATTAAAAGCAAACAGAATGTAAAAATTAAACCTTTCATTTTCAAACTCACTCTGTCCTCAAATTACTGCTCCATTTCTTGTTCCCTTCTTTAAAAATAAAAATATTCATTTAATAAACTGTGTATTCATCTCAGCACTTTTCTCACATTTTCTCTTAAATCCACTTCAAACAGAATTTTGCACCCTCCACTCCAGCAAAACTGCTTCCTTGACAGTGTCACCAATGACGTTTGTATTGCTAATGCCAATGGTTAATACTTAGTCCTTATTTTACTTGACATAATAATATTTGACAACATTGATCACTCCCTCTACATGAAATAATTTACATGCCTTTCCAAACTCTATCTGCTCTTGTTTTTCCTCCTGTATCACTGACTGCTCTTTTAAATTTCCTTTGCGAGTTCTTCCTTCTCTCCTGGAACCCTAAATATCGCAGTGCCTCTGGGCTCAGTCCTTGGTCCTCTTCTCTCTTCTATCCACACTCACTCTTTTGTGAGCCTACCCAGCACCACAGTTGTATATCTGAAGACTCCCACATGTATATTTCAATTGGAGACCACCTCATACAGCCAACTGTGCACTCAGCTTCTCCACTGGGGTGCCTAATTGGCAACTCAATCTTAGATTTTGAAACAATGCTAAGAACCATAGCTTTCAGTGAAATAGGTTGTGAAAAGAAAAACAAAGAACACATTAATCCTTCAAATTTTAGGATGAATTTAAAGTATCAGAACAATGTGTTATATCAAGTAATTTTACAAAACATGTTTCTCAGTCGTATTCAGCTCCGTGTGTCATTTCTTATTTTAACAATGTTAGTGTGATAGCAGCTGCAAAACAATAGCATGGGGAATGGTATTGCTAGTTGGATATGTGTGGTCCCAAGTACAAATCTCAATCATTTGGAAGATGAGGGACAATATGAAAGTTAGAAAAGATACTTTTATAGCCAGAATGTATTGCTTCTTATTTATGTAATAACATCTGTGGACTGTAGTTCAATTTTTTTTCTTTAATTTCAGCCAAGACTTCTGTGTCTGTAACAATTGTTACCAAGGTAACCTTTTCTGAAGCTATCATTATTCCCCAGGAAGACACCTGTATATATTTTCTTCAGGGGTCAGCTTCCTATTGCTTTTGACCACTTATTCGCTGGAAATGCTTCTAGTTCTTTATCAGTTTTGCTTTTCAATATCAGTTCTATTTGTCTAGTTTTTTGTTTTTTTATTTTTGCTTTTTACTCCTAAGAGTATAGAATCTAATATTAGATTCACTTAGCCAGCTTCTCTCAGGAAAGAAACCCAAAAGATCCCAGTGGTGAAGAATTCAGACATTAATAAATTATGATTTGAGATTTGAATACATTCTTTCTGGGCCCACATAATTAATATTAGTATGCCAACATAATATAGCTTTTTGTATTTCATAAAAGCAAATTCTCAGCAGAAGTTTAGAGGGCTAATGTTCTTTCCTAAGTTCATTGATGACTTTTGCACTTATTTTTGGATAGAATTTATGTTGTGGAATGATTGATATTGAGGCAACAGGCTCCAAATCGTATTTTTCTCCTGGAACTTTAAATTCACAAGGGCTCCTGGATTGATTTCTAGCATATAAGTATGTTTAAAAGAGCTAAACTTACTCTTTATATATTTTTAAAGTAACATTTGTATAATGGATATAACAGTACTATTTCTCTTAGATTATTCATACAACAATGTCTTTTCTGTATTACAAGCATATAAACATACTTTAGATAAACTTCAATTCAAAAAAGCATAAAAATGTAAAATACCTTGATGTATAATTCATATATTTCTTAATGTTTAGCAAATTTTAGATTAAAAGGCATAAATTTTGTTTTTACTAGTTTCTTTTACAAGAGACAAAGAGCCTCTTGCTCCTCCTGCCCCACTTGCATGGAACAGGTTAGTTCAGGATTTGCAGAGTAGATATGAGGATGCCAGTTATTTACAACCAACATGTTGATACAGACAGAGCAGGTAGAAATTTACCTGAATAACCAGGAGCACAGAGGCAGATGTATCCACCTGTTCTTTTGACACAATTTTCTCCATAGGGACAAGGTGAGATTTCACATTCATTTATATCCAGTTCACAGAAAGATCCGTGATACTCAGGTTCACAATTACATAGAAATCTAGAGAAAAAAAGAGAAATAATGTAACAACAAATAGCATTTCATTATATACATAATTCATATATATATTAAATTTCAGACTTTTAACTAAATTTACAGAAATTGAAATATTTTCATTTAATTTTTTTCTTTGAAGAAAATACAATTCACCTTTGTTGGTTTAAAACCTCGGGAGTTCCCCAAGTCAAATTATAAACTGACCCCATATAGAGAGAGCAAGAATAAACCAAAGAAAGAGGCAGACCACCCGAGATCAGTAGATTGCAGGTTTAATACGTAAGGGAACTTAAGTTAGAGGCTTGTCTTGGGAGGTCACAAGATGAGTAGATCTCTGAACCTGCCCACCAGAATCTTAAGAGTTTATATAGACACCTTAAGGAGGATTAGTCGTGTACCATCCAGATGGTCTCAATAACACATTATCATCTCAAGGCTGTAACCTTGATGTGGCTCCTAGTATGGGAATGGTGGGAGGATGCACATATCAAGAATGGGGATGGAGTTAGGAGCCTCCCATTGCCCTGGTCCATCTCGAGTCAACCAAAGGTCAAGTCCACTTGATGACCTCCTCCGACAATCTTCTAGGTGTTTTTCTCCTTAAAAGTTCTTTATTTGGGAGTGTTTTTTTAAATGAATGTATTTGGGTAAAAAATTACTGGAATTTCATAGATACTATTGACCTTAATTCTGTACCTGTATTTCTTTTGTTATAGTATAAATTTCACCTTTAACTATATTCTATGTTGAAAATTGAAAATTATCCTCTCCATGGATTGAATGACATTTTTTCCTGATACTAAAGTCCTTCTGATTAATTTTTTTAAAATCCTTTTAACAAAACAATTTCATTAGTGATTAATTATAGTAGCAGATGTTGAAGAAATTGAATGTTATTCAATGATTAGATGTTGGGTTCAAAGTGTCATGAACTTAATGGGCAGAGGGACTCTCAAAAGCCTTGTCTTTGAGAATGACTTCCAGAAACTTCATCTGACCCCCCTTTCAATGTCCAGCTGTCTCCTCTTTATCTTTATCTTATGCATCAGCGTCTGATGACTCTGAGTTGCTGAGTTCAGATTTGTCCTCAACTCTTATTTGGAAGTATTTCTTTGTTCTTATGAGCATTTCCTTCTATTGAGTCAGATCCTGTCTCAATTGACTCTTGACTGCTTTCCTCTGTAGTCTAAGCTGTGTCAGCTACAGATATAAGTACATGTGGCAAGATCACTTTGAATTTATTCTCAGTCTCTTCTTGGATATTGTGCCCACCAAGTTTATGTTTAAACATCTAGTCAGTCTGTATCTGTTTGCCAGAAGGGAGAAGACCAATCCTCCTTAGATGAATTGTGACTAGTTTTAGTTATGTGTTGGTGGAATAGCATCAGTAAAAGCAACAACCAAATAATTGATGATAAAACAAATAAATAATGTTAAGAGGAAGAAACAAGTAATTTAGTCTTTCCTAATTTAAGTTCTATATTCATAAAAATATTAATGAAAACATGGAACGAATTTCTATAGATAAAATTAAATTGAGAGAAAAGTGCACTTAGCAAAACAAGCTCTATATAGTTGCAATTCTCCCCCATCTTGTAGAAGTCTAGAAAAAAGCTTTATCAAATATCCTTTCAATGCTTTTTTCTTTCTTTTGGCTGCACCATGGCATGCAGGATCTTAGTTCCCTGACCAGGGATCAAACCCATGCCCCCTGCAGTGGAAGCACAGAGTCTTAACCATTGGACGACCAGGGAAGTCCCTCAGTGTTTTTGAGACAGATTTTTATTCTGATTTTCTGAGGAAACCTCTTCCTAATTGTTTCGACATAATCATAATTTCAACAAAAATCATAACCACCAGAAATCTAATATATCCAAGCTCCCCATTCACCACACATTAATTTACTGAATGCCAAACATTAGTCATATACCCAGACCCAAGTGTAAATAAGATTGGTTTTACTTTTGAAAGTCTCATAGACAATTTAGGGACATGGACATGTAAACCAGGACAGTAAAGATATGCCAGTAAAGACAGGTGTACAATCCTATAAAAGCAGAGCTAACTTCTAGAGAAAGTGACAGAAAAGGTTTTACCAGTTAATCATAAAGAAAGAGTGGAATCTTTGAATCTGTTGGACAGAATGCATTAAAATTGCATGTCTAATGTCATGCTGGTATAAGAGAGTACTGTACTTCTCAAGAGCTCTCAACATGGTAGGGAAATGACTGTAACCACTTTTTTAAGGCAACGTTAATCCAGTTACTATGACTCCCTGAAGGTATGTTGAAATGGGGAAAATTTTCTCCATCTCCACTATCTCACTAATATCTTCCTATCCATAAAGAATCTTGTAAATGCTTGCTAAAATCAAGATATACTTGCTAATGATATTGTCCTTAATTGCTGTTGTGTGTTCTCAGTGAACCCATGATGATTCCAAGTGATCATAGAGTAAGCTGGAGCTGGGCACAGTGTTCTCAGATGTGGCAGTAAAAGATATGTCCAGGACATAAATTTTTTCATACTGATAAACTTGAAAATGTTGTATTACTACAAAATACATAATATAATGACTTTAATTTCAATTTATACATTTGTTGCATGTACTTAGGACAGTTCTATCATATTTCCAAAAGTTGCAAAATCTACTTGGTAGTCTGAAATGTTGAATATTAGAAGTTATTTTTAGGACATCTTTGTTCTCAATGATAGATTTATAATAATGACCACTGACTTTCTTAATCTAATCTAAATAGCAATTTATTCATTAAATTTATAGAGCTTCCTCTCTTTCTGTTTCTCCTTTATTTCTCTCATTTTGAAAATGAAGAAATATCCATATCCCTTGTCTTTTGCCACCCAAATTTCATTTTCTGTGATTATAGAAAGGTTCCTGAGTGGTTTCATGATCAAATCAGTACCCTAGAATCTGGAGATTTCAACCAACTTAAAATAAGAGATGTTCTTCATTGATGGTTCTAACTGAATCATCTCTATATAATTTGCCAAATGGTACTTTTCTAACTCATCATTTATTCTACATTTACCAGATGACTTTTGACTGTTAGGAGGAGCTTTTCATTTTCTTTCATTCATTTATTCATTTATTCAGTTATTGATTTGTAGCTATATGAATTCATGATTTTTACTTTATTCACTGTGTCAAATATATAACTATTATATTGATTTTGATACTCAGTTTGTGTGAGATTCGGATAGTGGGAACCTCTTCAAGCTGTCTCGAATCTTTTTGACCCATCTCCATCATTCTTTGAGCACTTGTTTACTTTCTAGAAAGATGTTCCAGGTTTATCTTACATTTTTCCAGTCCTAGATGTGAAATCAGCCATTTCTCCTAGGAGTCCTGGCTCCTTTAAGTGAAGAGTGGTATTTAGAATTCAAGATAATTTGTATGTGTATGTGTATGTGTGTGTGTGCGTGTGTGTACACATATATGTGTGTCTGTATATGCATACATATATGTCCATATCTATATCTCTGTGTATGTGTGTATATATGTATATTATAAGCATACATATTAATGCATGAATGCATACTAACACCCCATTTCTAATTTGACATAATAGGATTCATTTTAGTTTAACCAATTTCTATGTCTAAAATTCTTTTTTATAACAATGAGAAATGTTGTTTTCATTATTTTAAACACATTATTATTTACTTCCTCTGTCAGTTAATGTGAAAATTTTCATGTTCTTTGTCTTCCTATGGTGAAGATGTGGGATTTTTTTTTTAATTGAAGTCTAATTGACTTACAATTGTATATTAGTTTCAGGGATACAAAATAGTAATTCAATATTTAATATATAATAAAATGATCACAATGATAAGTCTAATTACCATCTGTCACCATACAAAGTTATTACAATATTATTGGTTATATCCCCTGGGCTGTGTGTTACATCCCTGTGACTTATTTATTTTACAACTGGAATTTTGTACCTCTTAAACCCCTTTATCTGTTTTACTCATCCTCCCACCTCCTACCCATCTGACAACCACCAATTTGTCCTTTCTGTCTGTGAGATATCACTTCACACCTTTCAGAATGGCTTTTAACAAAAAGACAAGAAATAACAAGTGTTGTCAATGATGTGGAGAAAGGTGAACACTTGTGCACTGTTGGTAGGAAGATAAATTGTTGCAGCTGCTATGGAAAACAGTATGGAGGTTTCTCAAAAAATAAAAAATAGAACTTCCATACGATCCAGAAATTCTCTTTCTAGGTATTTGCCTGAAGAAAATGAAAACACTAATTTGAAAAGATATCTGCACCCTAGTGTTCAAAAGAGCATTATTTACTATAACCAAGATATGGAAGCAACCTAAATGTCCATCAACAGATGAATGGATAAAGAAGATATAGTATTTACACACAGTGGAATATTATTAAACCATAAAAAATGAAATGTTACCATTTGCAAAAACATGGATGCACCTATAGTGTATTATGCTAAGTAAAATAAATCAGACAGAGAAAGACAAATTCCATATGATTTTACTTATATGTGGAGCCTAAAAAACAAAACAAATGAACATACACAAGAAAACCCATAATAGCTTTTGTTTGTTTGTGTTTTTGTTTGTCTGTGTGGTAGCTTAGAGAAGTTATGTCAAGATTAGATTTTCTTACCTACCCAGAATTATCCTTTGCTAATTTTTCAATTATAATTACCATCTAACGTTTAGCTTTGTGGATCCTTCTATAGTTTTTACTAAAACTTATATTCATTTATCACACCATATTAGGGCAAATTTCCATGAAGATCAAATCTTTATTCCAGAATAGAGCTTCTACCTTGAATCTCTGTGTATAGTCTTTCCCAGGAAAATTAATGTATATATATGCACTCTCTTTCCCTCCTTCCCACTCTTCCCCCCACCTCCCTTTCTCTTTCTCTTTCCTCCCCACTCACCCCTACACCTCTCACTAGGAGAGGCAAGCACAGTGTTGAACACTCCCAATTTGTTCTCTCTGC